GGGGGGGCAGCAGCTGGAGCTCTTGTACAATCTGGTGGGATCGGGTGTGGCAACCAGCCCAACGCTAGTGAACCAAGGGGTTGCACAGCTGGAGTCTGTACTTGAGGATTGAGATAAATGTGGGCGATGTCATGCACACTTTAGATTGCCAACTTTCGTGTGCCTCCTGCCGTTTACGCACAGGAGTACAAGATAAGAGCTTCTTCCTAGTACTTCGTGGCAAGTAAACGCAGGAGATGGAGAAGCGAACTCCGCTTTGCGAAGGTGAAGGTGAAGCAAGGAGAGCGAAAGGGGCTTCGATTGGAATTCACGCCACATCAAATAAACCTATAGCGGACGACTCTCGAACGCGACCTGGCCCGGAGGGTGGGGGAGGGTGGGCAGTATATTGTGTGTGCGTGTGTGTGTGTGTGAGGGGGTGAGGGGCTTTTGTACTCCCCACTTTGGCGTACAATAGGGCTGAGGCTAGGTCCTTACCTTGGCACTGAAAGCCCTGCTTCCCGAAGCCCCTGCGAACAGAAAAGAACAAGAAGTCAGCAAAACGAATGGAAGGTACGTCGATATGGGGTGATTCCAATTGTTCAAGATTATGTGGGAAAAGAGAGCAATTGCCACTCGCGGCCGGTCTCTAAATTCACAATGTCTTGTCGGTCTCACCGGCGTCAAACTTTTCGAGCATTTAAACGTGTAGACGTTGGTGATGTATCTAATGTGTGCACAGAGATGCTCACTGTATGTGTGTGTACGGAAGAAAGCACAACAAAGAGAATCCCTAAAGCACACATTGCATAAAAGGAGTTTCCTAGAGGCGAATGTCATTCTGCCGTTCTCTTAAATAATCGAAAAATCAACTTGCGACAAAAGTTTATCCAGTCGAGGCATAAAAATAATTCATATGCACGTTGATATTGGAGAAGAGAGAAAGTATGGAGAAGGGAGAAATTATGGAGGCAGGGGAAAGTATAGGAAAACAGCCGCCTCGTAGCGGAGAAGAGGGTAGTAAGGGGAAACAGTAGGAAAGAGAGGGCGGGGGAGGGGGTACCCCCTTCCTCTCTGCTAGGCTTAATGCCCACGGGCTCCGAGATTTAATATGGCGTAGGCGTAATCCACGATTTGTTTGAGAGGACAGAGAAAACCGGCTTCCGCTTCTCCAACCCTTTCGCAGGCAGCGAGATTACGGCGTCGCTCACACCACGTACGTACTGCACGGGTAAACTAAGTGTTCAACTACTCAACACTTGTAGGTGTGCAACTGCAAGTTGAACACTTGCAAGTGTGCAACTCCGTAGTCGTACACTTGCAAGTGTGCAACTCTTCGGTTGAACACTTCCTTAGATTGAACGCTTACTGTGTAGGAAGTGCTCAACCGAGGAGTTACACACTTGCAAGTGCACACGTACCGAGTTACACACTTGCAAATGCACACGTACCGAGTTACACACTTGCAAGTATTCAACTTGCAGTTGCACACTTACATGTCGTGCAGTTGAACACTTAGTTTATCAGTGTGTCACCAGCAATGCGGGGACAGCCGAGTACACTCATCTGGGAATCATATCATTGGATCAAACAAAAATATTTCGTTTTAATCTTTTTTTTAGTTGGATGAGGCAGTACAATACTCTCTCTTCTTGGGAAAACTAAAAAAAAATGGGTTACGCAAAAAAGAGAATGATCTGCAAAGCAGCCATCGCGTTCACCCGCGGCATCGTGCGTGAATAGTAGCACTTTAATGGAGAGCCGCAGACGCCTTTCACAAAGACTTTCGCGGAAAGACCATAGAGGCTGGCAGACCGCGCGAGGCCAGACCGGACCAGACCCAGGGCGGCGCGGCGGCGGGCGTATTGATGCTGGGAGACGCTCCTTGCTCCGCCGCCGTGGCGTGTTCGGCCACTGAAAGGCATCTTGAAAACGGCCGCCATTCTCTTTAATGACGGGAGGTCTTTTACAGTGTTTACACAGAGTTGTTAACTCGGCAGATTGGCGCGCCAGTACGTACACTGCCGCTGTTGCGCGGACACTAACCAAACAAGAGATAGAGCTGGGAGTTTTGCAGGAAAAGTGGGGGGGGGGGGGGGGGGGGGCTACACGCCACTGAATGTATTCTTCACTCATTCTCTCGCACGACGCGATAGGCTACAGCAGGTCTTCAAACATGAAGAGGCTTCCGCGTTTTTTCCCTTCTCTCCCCCTCCCCCCTCGAGGCAGACGCAAGCGGAATGAAGAAACGTTTTCCACTAAACAGCCGCCGCCGCTCCGTGTTCCGTTTTGTGTATGTACACAACGCACCGGCCCACGGCCCACACCCACACACGCAAATCGAGGCAATATCTCGCTTCGCCTCACCGAGCCGCCCCGCACAGAAGAAAGGATGTGTGTGTTTTTTTTTCTCTCTCCCTAAAAACAACGCGGCGCCCGTAGCGACCCGTTGATTGTGCGGACAAAAAAGAACAAAAACAAGACAAAAACAACAACAAACGACAAATCGGAAACACGGTATGAATTTGTTAAACGCGAACAAAATCAACCGCGTGTCGTAATGAAGACCTTTCAAAAGGCGTGCCGAGCAGACTGTGGGCGTTATTTTCTCTGAGTGCTACGAGCTTAGTCATGGTGTGTGTGTGTGTGTTTTTTTTCCTTTTTTCTTTTTTTTTTAAAACGTTACATGGGGCAAAAGTCAAGACGGCACGAAAGCAATAGTGCATTTAATCAAAATTCGGCTGATGTAATACCGAGGGTGCAAAAGCAGACTTTCAAAAACTGCACAACACATTTTTCTTTTTTCACTGAGCATTCCCTCCAGCAGAAGAGGGTTGGCTGGCCACATTTGCATGTTAGCCGTAGCGTAGAGAGGCGTGTCTCTCCCGGCACCCCGTCACTCTCTGCGCGTCACTCCCTCATTCCGTCCCAACGTCACTCCGTTGTGTCCAGCGGCCCCCGCCCTCCCACCACAACACAGCGCAGCGTGAAAGAGGGAGAGGGAAGAAGAGGGAGAGGGAAGAAGAGGGAGAGGGAAGAAGAGGGAGAGGGAAGAAGAGGGAGAGAGAAGAAGAGGGAGAGGGAAGAAGAGGGAGAGAGAGGGGGGAGGGGAGAGGTAGAGACAGCAAGAGAGACAGAGAATAGAAGAGAGGGAGAGACAGAGAATGGGAGAGAGGGGGAGACAGAGAGCGGGAGAGAGATTCTCCGGACCAACCGGTGGCCGGGATTCTGGGCCGCGACCCGCCAAGCGGGCGATAAAAGATAAATCCAGTCTGCCTGGCGGGAGCCCCCCCAGCCGGGGAGAGTAGGGGTAGCAGTGGTAGGGGGAGTTATTCCCCCCCCCCCCCTGCCGTATGCGAGGGTACGCGAGGATGGGGGGCGGACCTACCCCTCCCCACCCCAGCCCGACGTCACTACTCGACCCGCATGGCACAGCGGGAAGGCCCCGTCACTTAGAGTGCGCCAACGCCTTCGATGCCTACGAGAGAGAGAAGAGAGATGTGGAGCTTCCACACACATTTGAAGAGCCTATCACCTATCATCGTGCAAGTGAGTAAAGAGGATGGAGTTGTAGTTTTGGTAGACTTTATTCGTTCTGCAGACTCCAAATGCGCCTGGGCAAACTATTTGGGGGACGGTTAACACGTTACAAGCGGCAAGCTGCTAAGCGCACCACAGCGAAGTGACGTTTTTGAAGCATTTTTCCAGATTAAAACATTAAGTTAGCCAGTAGTAGGAAAATACATGTGCACACTAGTAAAAAACACGCACGCTCATTAGTGCTAAATTTCTCTCATAAAGGGGGAGTAAGGAGTTACTTTAGGATGCGGATGCCCCAATTTTACCCTCTCAGTCAAAACAGCACAGGGGGTTAACATCATTTACTACCCCCTCACTACCCCGTCATAGAAGCAGAAGGCAGGGATGTAGAAAAATTTTTCCGGTAAAGACGGCCGCGGATTCGTTTAAAAAGAGAGCGGGGGGGGGGGAGGGGGGTAAGAAGACAGATAGCGCGACACAGCAGATGAGCAGCGGACGGAGCCTCACTGCCGGGCCAGGTCCTCCCTCCCCCTCCTGCGCCCGTCATTGGTCTCCGCTTTTCCTCGTAGTCTCTGCGTCGTTCTCAAGGCTGCAGGGCAACAGCAAGAGACTGTTCGTTAAACCATAGCCAGCTCAACACGTGAAGGCAAGAGCACCCTTATTAAGGGAGGGTCGATGGTTCTATACGCAGCAACGCATTACCTCGACCACGATGCCACCACGAACTAAGGCGTCTCAAGCTGTCGCGCTCTCCATCACAAAGGTCGGCGGCACTCGCTTTGCCATTGTTTTATACTACAAGAGTAGAGACAACTTTAGCGGGGGATTTCATGTACGGATTAAAAGCCCGCCCTGCCCGCTTGCCGCCGCCGCCCGACCCCGGCTGCTTTCAGACACTACTTTCCAGCCGCGCGGGCGCAATCCCCCCGCCTCAGCCGCTCGGCACGGCACCCCGGCTGACGGCCCGGCCCGAGCGCACCGGGACAAGGAGAAACCTTTCAGCGCGGAGCTCCGCTAGCGGAGGCGGCGGGCGGAGGGCCGGTAAAGCCGCTGGAACAAACTCGGAAGTGCCCTCGGAGCCGCGGGCGCGCCTCGGCCGCGCGCTCGACGAAAATGGTCGGCTAATTCAGCCGCGCACTGTCAAAACCAACCTCAGCAGCAGCGCGCGCGAGATATTTTGAGGTCAGATAAAATTTCTCACGTTCCGATAAATAGCTGAAACGCCGACGGGTCGGAATGGGGCGCAACGACGGGCGGCTCCCCACTCGAGAAGCGGTTGCGGCGCCGAGGCGAAGGCAGCACACGACGGGGAAGGGACCGGGTGAAAAGGGGAAAGGGGGGGGGGGGACCGGAGATCAGCCCGAAGCCATGTCCATAAACAAAATTCAAACATGTACAATTACGTGATACGCGACAAAATGAAAGCATAGTGAAACCTACTGAAAAAAAAACACAATATTTAGAGATAGAAAATGTACTTGTAAGTTTAATACCATCGAGGAGAGTATTTTCTAAATTAACTGTACATTTACCAAATTTGCAAAAAGAAGTCTAAGCTTATTCGTTATTGTTTTAGCAGACGACTTCCGAAAAACAATTGAAGGCTTGTTCTGTTCTGGTCTGTTCTTCTCGATCTTCTTTACACCAATTAAAATACCTCTTTGCCACACTTTCACTGAAAACCTTTGAGTGAGGTGCCTTTCTCGAAATGAGTGAGACAATTTTGCCTCGCTCAATCAGAACGATGACTATAGATAGGGCTTACCCTATTTGAGTCATATGCACCGAATTCTCACTCTGAAGGAGTAAGATTTCCCTGACCTCGCCCAATTGCAGTGAGGAACATATCACTCTCATAGGGTGAGGACCTGCAAATTATGACTCAAAATTGAGTGAGAGTCAGACATCTCGCTCTCAAGAGAGAAAGATTTCTGGGGTCACCATCTCGCTCTCCTGAGAGTAAGATATCTGACTCTAGCATTTTCAGTGT